AGAAAAAAAAAAAGAAAAGAAGAAAGAACGAAGGAGGGGAGGGCGGGCGGGCGGGAGGAAAGGAGGGAGGAGGGAAGGACAGACAAGGGAAAGACAATGAATGGTCTTAGTTAGACCTGAGTTTGACCACAGTAATTCTGTTTAAAGCTTTAGTAAAATCCTTGAGTCAGCTTTTGGGCCTGAGGAAACTCAGCGTCTGGGATTTGTCACAGGCCTTCAGAGCGAGGAACTAACTGAGGAGGCTATCAGAGTGCAGTGGACTTCTTTAGCAAGGTAACTGGAGCTGAGAAGTGACTCTCCCTCAGACCGTCCTGTTAAGGCAGGGTCCAGGGCTGGGTCCATGGCCTAGGCGAGGACCTTCCACTCTGGAGCAGGAAGGACAGGAACCCTCCTGTTTCAGGAGACTCTTGGACTCTGACACTGTGGCTACTGGGCTGTGCCTGAAGCCTTAGGAGCAGAGCAGCAGAGTGCCCAGAGGCAAGGCAGCATGCCTCCTGGCCCCTGTTTGTTGGAGGACATGCAGGGACACTCTTATGGTCAGAAGCTCAGCTTCCATAGGGCTGGAATGACGTGGTCCTCAGTGCTGGCACTGCACCATCCCCCCATGCGAACAAGCAGCCAGTGGCTCCTACAAGTTGTGGGCACAGGAGGGTCATGTCCCTGAAGTGGTGGAAGAGCCCAGCTCACCCTGGAGCCACCACAGCTGGCCAGTCCCCGTCCCCTGGGACTGTGTGGGACCTTCAGAGTGGGAGCTCCTGCCCTTGTCCTGACAGGCCTGACCCCATGGGGTAGAACTTACCCAAGACCTGAGGGCCCTGAGCCCCCACAGAGCAGTGGGGGCCTCCGCAGCCCACTTCCAACTCCACATCCAGCCAAGACGTTTCTGGGGCTTGTTAATTAAAACTGTCATTCACTGTATTCCCTGATGCTGAGTACAGAGGAAGCCTTTCTCAAGGAACGGTTGTACTTAGAGATGAAAGGCACTGAATTGAGTGTGCAGAGCTGTGACAGGTACCCACGCAGGTATGCGCAGGAACCTCGGGCCTGGCTTACACGACACGGAGACGGCCTCCCGTCCACAAGTCGAAGGCCAGGGAAGGCACTGCTCACAGGGTGCTCGGTGCAGCACTGAGGGTAAGATGGACTGTGCTGCTGTCCAGGTCACTGGGAGGCCCAGGCTCTGGCTCTCCACCCCCACCTTCTCAGACCCCACGGGTTGCTCAGTCTTTGATTCTGCTCTCTCATCTGGGCACCCTCTCAGTGTCCCTGAGTCACTTCCTTCCCCTGTTTCTCATGGTGGCACACTGCTTGCCAGGACGCACAGCTCAACTGGAGGAATCCGGGCCTCCCTGCTGCTCCGTCCTCCCTGCCTCCACAGCCTCACCGGTCTACCTGTAAAAACTCCCTGCTGCTTTAAAAACCTAACCTCCCTGGAAATTGGAACACACACACACAACAATCCACTTGTATTTCATGTATTCCATAAATACACACTACTTACATATTTGGAAGTGGAACAAAATAGAAAAAAAATGCTAAACTACTCATGGTAATATATGGAAGTAATAGACTCATTGATGGTTTGTTTGTTTTTTTCCCCTTATCTAAACTCCTTTGTATTTTCCAGGTTTCGAGCAGTGACTATGGATTGTTTTCATAACCAAAGCCAAATACTCATGAAGGTACAAAGAGAAAAGGGGCTCGGGACATAGCTCGGGGTGGAGCGCTTGCCTGGCACGCGAGGCCCTGCTCTCTACATCCACTGCTGCAAAACACAGAGGGAAATTGATGCCTGGAAATGCAGGGGTAGGTCCTGAGAAGTCACTGAAGGTCAAGGGCAGGTTTGGCTTTTACCTTTGTATCTTCATATGGCCCAAGTAAGAAGGCAAATGGAATAACTTACTTGTTGTTTATTAAGAAAAAGAATACCGGTTCCTACAGGGAAGGAAAGATTCTTGACAAAATTTTTTTGTCCTACATTTAAAACGAAACCCCACAAGGGTCTCACATGAAGGGTCTTGGGTAGCTTTCTTTCTGGTCCTGGGGATTGAACCCAAGGTGCTTAACCACTGAGCCACATCCCCAGCCCTTTTTATGTTTTATTTAGAGACAGGGTCTCGCTGAGTGGCTGAGGCTGGTATCGAACTTGCAATCCTCCCATCTCAGCCTCCTCTGGGATGACAGGTACACATCACCGCAACTGGCATCTTTTCCCTTTCTTCAAAGGCCCCTTTGACCACCATTTCCCAACAGCCTCCTTCCAACCCCCCTCCTCTCTTCCTCCTCTCTTCCTCTCTGTTACAGGGGATTGAACCCAGGGATCTCTACACACAACCACATCTCCAGCCCATTTTGAGACCTAGCCTCCCTAAGTTCCCCAGCCTGGCCTTGAACTTGTGATCCTTCTGCCTAGGCCTCCCTAGCACTTGGGACTCCAGGGCCTCACCTGGCCAGCCTCCTTCTCTCACAGTCACAGAAAGCCCAAACCATCTGCAGGCCTCCAGCCACACTGATAGTCTCTGCTCCAGCTCCCAAGACCTGGAGCTTGCGAAGGATCAAGAGAGGCCAGCACTCTGCTGAGAGGTCCTTTGCGAGGAACAGTGGCTTATAGAAAACTTTTGTGAGAAATCATTTTCCCCTGTAGATTAAGTATTTTCTTTAATAAAGACACAAATTTAGAAAGCCATTTTACTTCCTAGGTAAGTTCTGAGTTTGAAGTTAAAATGTCACTGAAGTGGAAAGGGGTGGCACCCAGGCCCTCCCCACCCAGCCCCTC